ACAAATAGAGTCAAACAAAATGATTCCTATAGTGTTATCATCACAATTTTGAACAAAAAATGTTAAAGTAACCTTCACAGGCATGCTGAGCACAGAGTATGAGATGATATTAAAGCCTATGTCTCAATACTGTTAGGCAGGCTAACAGTATGATAGTTACGTTTTGCAAACAAAGAGATATTTATAAAACAATTTAAGGATGAAATATGTTGAGGATTTGCTTTAAAATACTATAGGAAAAAATCGAGATGCATGAGATAGATGAAAAAAATTATCAGTTATTGGAGCTGGATGACAAGTTCATATGGGCTATTTACAATGTTCTATGTACTTTTATTCTAAGAACTTCTCAAAATTAAAAATTACTTTAAACTCTGGACTCCAATGTGTACTTTTATAGTTTCATAATAAAATGACCCCAATTGAACACTTAGCAACAGCAAAAACATCTCTGTAATCAACTACAAAACCAAAAATTAACTCTGATCCCCTTTCTGCTTCAATTAATGATATTCTATTCTGTCTGAAGCTTTATCAAGTGTACAAAATGTTCCAGGATCACAGAATAAAGTGTGTCTTCCTCTGAAAGGCATGCTACTGCTGGACTGTGGCCAATAGAATCAGCCTTCTGTGGATAAAAAAAACAGCCTTCAAACACTGCATGCACTAAAGACCAAAGGCCCAAGGAAAGTCAGGAAGAACAAAGTGGTTACCAGGGAGGAATTCTGCCAGCTGAGAGCTTGCCCTTCTGCCCTTCACACAAGAGTCTGTTTGCAACTGAGACTGGGTTCTTGATTCCTATAAAACAAAATGGCAGAAAAAGAAATCAGAAATGTCTTCAAGTTTCCCATTCGGTTTTGTGGTTGTTTCCGTAAAACAACTTTAATATATGTGTATCAAATAATACTAATAAAAGCCCTTAATAATCATCAACAATAAGAGTCAAATCAAAAAATGTATGAATAGCTAGTAAATGCAAGATAAGAATAAAAAATGTACATTCTCATGTTTTACCATGTGCTACAGCAGCAAAGACTGAATTTGAAACACTACATATTTTAATTAGGTTCCTTTTTAATAAATTTCAGACTAGAGTAGAAAAAAATGAACTGAAAATATGGTACTTTCCTACTCTTAAAACTAAATACATGCTCCAGGCATTTATTAACCACAAAACCATGAATTTCCTTTGAAGAATAAACATGATTATAAACCACTTCAAATTGACCTTGGAGAGAATAATTAATGGGGAAAGATAAGCCAAAAATTTTAAATGTCACCTAAAAGAGAGACAGAATAGAGAAAAAGTCCTTCAAATTGACTAAGGGGGGAAAAGAAGCCAAGTATATACAAGATTATAACCTAAAATGTGGTTAAGACTATTTCCAGGAGGCTAACCAGTATGTACAAATTAGATGACAGTGCTTCTCTGGGAGGACAGTATTAGTGAGATTGTCAGGATAAAAATGGCAATGGCAAATATGACGATGATGACGATGGTAGCAGACAATGAAAGTAATTAGTACCTACTATGCACCAGGCCCAGTGCCAAAGTCTTAAATGTATCAGATGATTTAATTGATCCCTCAACTCTTACCACATGGTGACACTCATGAATTCTGTATGATTAATGAGGAAATTTTATACAGAGGGTTAAGTTGCCTGTCCAAGATCACAGAGCCGAGATTTTAACACAGAGGTAGCTAATGCCAGAGACCATGCCCTTAACCACTAATCTGTGGATGCCTCTCAGGACACTATTAATACAAAAAAAAAAAAAAAATTCAGCAGTGGGATATAAAGAGACTATAAAAACTTAAATTAAGGCCACCAGAGTGACTCAGAGCAAAACTAATTGCAGAAGTTTAGCTAACTTGCCAAAAACCTCTGCCATAAGAAGTACGAAATATCAAATAAAGGAAAAGCCCAGATCAGATCCATATACTAGTTCTTAACACATAATATATTTCAGAATATGATGATTCAATATTATAAATAATTTCCAAATAACTTCTAAATTCAAATCTATAAATTCTCCATCAAAACCTGAAAAGGATTTCTATGATGTATGAGAAGCTGACTCTGAATCAAGAAAAAAAAATTTTGAGAAAGAAAAATGAAGATGTATTCACCCTGCAAGATACCGTTTCCTATTCAAAGATATTGTAGTGAAAAGAGTGTGGTTTGAATACAAAACAAGCAAATATATCAATGGAATAGAATAAAGCTGAAGTTCAGAAACAGATACATGTGAATTTGGGTATTTAATATATAATACACAAAGTATTTCAAATCAGTGGGAAAAGGATAAACTATAAACAAGAGGTAGAAAAAACAGAATGAAAAGCACAGAAGTCAAACTACTTTATAACAGTCCCAGTTATCAGTTCATTGCTTCTCAGCTACAAATTCACCCTTTGTTGCCTGATTTGTAAAAATGGATATGGGCCCTTTAAACATGTTTCCTTTACCAGATAGCACAATGGTAAGCTCTGTCAGTAGAGGGCACTGAAAAACATGGTCGCTTGCTCACCAGGCTTCAAGATTTGGCCCAGGTGGCATTCTCCACTGCTGAGTGCCCACAGGGAGCAGCTTTCCCCAGCATTTGGCCACCACATGTTTTCTCCAGTTCCTGATTTGGGCCACCGCGGCATAGCTGAGAGCCCCAGAAAAAACGAGACTGTACCCTGGTCAAGGTCACTAATCCCCACACCCTCTCCTCAGCCCCATAGGCACACATACATAGCAAGTGTTCCATGGGGATGGCCGTGCAGTAAGGAAAAGCCCAATCTTTATCCTGCTCAGTGGAGGTTCAATTCCCATGGACTCTTTTTTTTTTTTTTTCCTGGATTCAGGGTACACTCCAACCCATGCACTCTTGACCTCTCTGTGCCACCTACCAGCCTGAGTTCATCTTTGCCCCCACAGGACTGGTCCTGCTCACAGTGGCTGTAGACCAGCTCTGGCCTGGGTAATCCAGTAACTTTTCTGACATACAGTGGGCTGCAACACACCTTTTGCAATGAAGTCTGAACTCAATTGCAAGTCTATCCTTCCTTGGGTATTCTCCTTCTGCCCTAGGATACACCTTGAGTTCTCCTATCTTTATATAGTTACTCTCCTATTACTGCTTAATAACTCTTTATATTAAACTTCTATTTAAACTATTGTGTGGTTTCTGCCTCCTAGTTTGACCCAGACTGATAAAACAAACTTGGACAAATTACTAAATCTCTCCTGTGTCTCATTTTCTCATCTGTAAAAGTGATAAAAGCATAGATCTCAAGTGTATTGTGAGAACTAAATGATTTAATATATGTAAACCACTACAGAACAATGCCTAATATGTTATATTCAGTAAATAAATGGCAGTTACTATTAGTAGTAGCAGTAAATAAATTATGTAGGGAGAAATTTTTAGTCATTTCAGAAAAAACAATGCATTTGAGAGGTAAATGAAAAATAAATTATAAACATATTAGAAGAAAACATTGGCAACTATGTTTATAAATTATGAGAGAGAAAAACTTACAAAAGCCACAAAAGGGAAAGTAATAAGTTTAACAAATAAAAATTTTACATTCCAATGTGATAAAGAATATTATAAACAGAGTTAAAAGGCAAGCCACAAAAGAGGTATTAATAGGCAGTTCCCAGAGAAATGCTAATGACCTTTAAACATACGAATTTTTTTAAAATAACAATAAAACTTCATAATAAAGGAAATGAAAATTAAAACTAATTGAAATACCCTTTCTTATGTATCACAAAAATCAGAAAAAATATAAAAGATCAGAACAAATGAAAAATCAAATTGACCTAATTGACATACATACAGCACCGTACCCAAAAACCGCAGAATCAATACACTTTTGAAGTTCACATGGAATGTTACCGAAACAGAATATAAGCTGGGTCTCACACCATAAAGCAAGTCTCAAAAAGTTTGAAGGGACTGGAATCACATCTAGCATATTCTCTGACCACAGCAGAATTAAACTAGAAATCAATAATGAAAGCTAACTTAAAATGTCTTTAGGCAAATAAATTTGACGCATATGAAATAGACAAATTCCTTGAAAAACACACATGAATAAAAGAAAATACAGATAATCTTATAAATGTTAAAGATTGAATCGTATTTTTTAAAACTTCCCACAAAGAAAACCCCATTAATTTGGAATAATTGATGAATTCTTCTAAACAATTAAAACGAAATCATTCCAATCATACACAAACTCTTTCAAAGAACAGAGAAAAAAACAATCCCCAACTCATGAAGCCAGCCATAACAGGGTACAGATACAAACCATTACAAGTAAAGTCACTTAATTTACCAACACAATTCTGTGAGGAAAGGACCACCTTTTCAATAAAGGGCAATGAACCATTTGGATACTCATATGAGAAAAAATAAATAAATGTTGACCCCCATTCTCATATACACAAAAATTAGTATGAGCTGGATAAGAAAGCTAAATATGAAGGGTAAAAACAATAAAGTTACTAAAAGAAAACAATGGAGACTACCTTCGTAACTTTGGATAGGCAGAAATTTCTTAAAACACAAAATGAATTAACCGTAAAAGAAAAGGCTGATAACTTAAACATCATTAAAATTAAAAACTTGAGCAACAGCAACACAAAATAGCAGCCACCATGGGCTCGAACAATTTATGAAAACCAAATATACAGCCTTAAAATAGAATATGGACCTAAATACCCAGAAGCACTCCCCTTTGTAAGATTTGTAACAAAAATTAATATGAATGGAGTTAATAGTTCTAATAGAGTGGTGGATCCAAGAGGCATATCAGTGCTAGCAAAATGGCACAATTCATATAGCATCAAAGTTGTCTTGCAAGAACCTCGGAGCCTAATGATGTCTTAAGAAAATATGAAACTCCCTCAGCCACCTGAAGGACAGTGTTACGGCAATTAATCAAGAAGAAAAACCACAGGCCCTTCCCCTTAACCCCCATTCAATTTAAGCAGTCTTCATTTTCCGCAGTAGTAGAATTTTCTAGATACGTCTTATAGACCTCAAAGTACTGGAAAGGAAGCTCCCATTCAAAAGCAATTTATCTTAAGATACTGTAAATGATACTTAAATAAACAAATAAATAAATAAATATTTAAAACTTCTATTCATCAAAAGACATTAATATTTTATATTAACATTAACATTTTAATTTGGAAAAAATCTCTAAGACATCCTAAAGTAAAAAGTTTCATAATAACAAATACATTTATTTTTTAAGAAACAACTATATACACAAAATAAAACTATGTCTCTATTACATAAAAATAAAGATAAAGGCACTGGATTTTCACTAGTTACACCCAGGAGGAGAAGAGGACGAGAAGGAAAGATTTAGAGGATCAAAGGTAAATTTTATTTATTTCACCTGAAATTTCGTACAATGAAAATATGTTTTGATTAGTTTAAATAAATTATAAAATATAATATTCTAAGTCAAGTTTTAAATGTCTGTAATTTCTTGAAGGGATGAAGCAGAATGATCAAATTCTAACTCAAAACTAGGAGACAGGGTGCTTTGTTGTTTTCTTTAAAACTATTCATAGCCAAGAGTTCATGTTTTAAATTTAGTAAAAGAAGAAAAACATTTGTTTTCAATACCATGCAAGAATGGTGTAAAAGACTGGACTAAGTCTTTAGAAGGCATGAAATGGAAATATGCATAGTTTTTCAAAGAATAGAGATAGCATGTCTTAATGCCCACATACCACTCAGTGCTCCAACTGCTCCAAAATTTAAGGATTTTCCATCCATTATGCTGGCATCACACTCAATTTCACCTAAGAGATTTAGATTAGATCCCATTCCAGCATTTGTAAAAGGAGAATCCTGAAAGACAAAAACAAAAATTAAAATACCATTAGTTTTAAAGAATTAATGCCAATCCTTCATAAACTCTTCCAAAAACTAGGTAAAAGAACACTTCCCGACTATTGTATGATGCCAGTACCACCCTGATATCAAAACACGACAAAGATATCATGAGAAAAGCAAACTACAGATCAATACATCTTATAAATATTGACAAAAAAATCATCAAAGAAATACCAGCAAATGAAATTCGGCAAAATAGTAAAAGGATTATACATTACAAACAAGAGGAAAGCAAGGCTGGTTTAATATCTAAAAATCAATCAACATAATGCCCTATATTAATAAAGGATAAAAAACAAGATCTTATCCATAAACACAGAAAATAGCATCTGACAAAATCTAACACCCTTTCATAAGAAAAACATTCAATAAATTAGATATATTAATAGAAAAAAATTTCCTTAACATTAATGATAAAGGGCATCTATGAAAAGTCCAGAGCTAGCATCATAATGAGTAATGAAAGACTGGATGCTTTCCCCTAAAATCAGGAATGAAACAGAGGTATTCGCTCTCACTAATTCTATTCAACAATATATTATACAACTAACCAGACATTTAGGGGGAAAAAGGAAATAAAGAAAGAGCATCTAGATTGGAAAGGAAGAAGTAAAATTCTATTTCAAGATAACATGATCTTGTATATAGAAAATACTGAGGACTCCACTAAAAAACTATCAGAACTAATAAATAAGTTTAACAAGGTTGCAGGATACAAGATCAATATGCAAAAATCAATAGGATTTCTACAGATTAGCAATGAATAATCTGAATATAAAATTAAGAAAATAATCTCATTTACAATAACATCATGTTCACTTTGGCAGCACATACAATAAAATTGAAGCAATACAAAGAAGATTACCACGGCCCCTGCACAAGGATGACAAGCAAATTCATCAAGCATGCCATATTTTTGAACTCAAGCAAACCAGCAAGAAAAAAACAAATAAACCCATTAAAAAGAGAAAAAGAAAAAGTCTAAGTAAATGTGAAGATATAAAAAACTTTTCTTTCATTTTCTAAACACTTTAAAAGATAATTGTTTAAAGCAAAAATAACAGTGTATTGTGGGGTTTATAACAAATACAGGTACAAACTGTAAGGCAAAGGTAAAACAAAGATTGGCAGGGGTAAATGGAAGTATATTGTTATAAGGCTCTTACATTATACAGGAAGGCTTATAATATGATTTGCAAGTAGACTGTGATGATCCAAAGATAGTTTTTGCAAACAGTATAGTAACTAAAAAATAAAGTGAAGAAGTGTAGAATAGTGGACATAAAATCCTCAAAAGCAGAAAAAGAAATGAGAATCAAGTAGAGATGAAACCAATAGAAAGCAAATAGTAAG